TTTCTGCTCCCGTAAAGATTTACAGCCTTGGAAACCCTGTACAGGGTCACTATGAGTCGGAACCGACTCCACAGCACCTAACAACATGTTTTGGAAAGTCTTTCCATTTTAATACTTGGCATTTTATGAAATGGGTGTACTATTCATTAAATATTTTTCAATTGATGTATATTTGAGGTAAAACTTTTTTGGCTTTTTTAATTGTTATTATATCCTTGTACTTCTGGTGGTGCCAAGGTTTAAGCATTGATTTGCTAACTGAAAGATTGGTGGTTCACACCTACCAGCCACTCCTTTGGAGAAAGGTGAGACAATCTGTCCGTGAAGATTTGTCGCCTTGGAAATCCTAGGAAGCAGGGTTAAGCTGTCCTGTAGGGTCACGTGAGTAGAAATCAACTCCTTGGCAGTGGGTTTTTGGTTTGGGACCTTGGGACCTATGTTTTGTGATTATGCAGAATGTTTTGTTAGAACTAGAATTGCTGAGTCAAAGGGTATGAACATTTAACATTTTATTAGATAATACCAAATCTTTGTGTTTAGTTTTTTTTTTAAAGAAATGCTAGTTTATACTCCCACCAAAGCTTTTATAAATGCCTCTTTCCCTCTGCTGTTAGTACCATCACATCGGTTCCGTCACATAGGGACCTGTAGAGTTTCCAAGGTGTGATTGGTGGGTTTGAACCACAGATGTTGCACTTAAGAGTCCATTGTTGATCCTACAGCACCGCACCAGGAGTCCTCTAAATTGTCATTTAGATTTTTGTCTATCTGATGCCAATCTAAGTGAAACTATCTTTGTGTTTTATTGAGGCACAGTCAGAGTTTATGTATGGCTTATGTGTTTTCTACTTGAAGGAAAGTTGTTGAGGTTTCCTGTGTGTGTGGTCAACTTTTAGATGTTCATTGGGTATACTCTGTTGACTGTTGTGTATGTGTGTATGTATCTTAATATTTAGATTCAAATAACCAAGTTTATTAAAGTCTTTATATTCATTTTAAAATTTATTTGAAATGTAGAATTTTGTGAAAGGTAGATTAACTATACAATATAACTGTGGAAAAGCTGTTTTATTCTGGTCTTAATATGCTTTCACGCTATATATTTGGCAACTATGTTATTAGTTATATGATTACACATTTTATTAGTAGGAGATAGTTCTAATTTTTCTAACGTAAATTTCTATATTTATTCTTTGTTTAAATGGTTGGTTTGGTATGTATTTTTCTCTCTCTTTATTTTCAGTGTGTGTCATTTTATTTTAGGTATATGTCTTCCAAGCTGCATGTAGTTAGAC